CTCTGTGGTTCTTCGGGGTCTGTGGGTGAGAGGCAGCCACAGATGTCTTTACAACTAATAGAGAACCTACTTGCTAACTCTGACTCTGCTACAACTTGCATGACCCTGGGGGGTCATTTATCCTTTCGAAGTCTTGTCTCCTGCCATCTGTGAAATGTGCTGGTGTCAGAGTCTGGTCCCAGTGGGACCTCACAGTTGTGTAGCTTGGTAAGTCCACAGTTCTAAAATACAGATTAAATTTGTCATTCATGAAGGAAAAAAAGCAGTAGTAACTTCTACTGTAGTATATACTATGGGGGCATGATGCAAAAGAGAATCACTTTTGGACCCCAGCTGATACACAGACAGCCCCCACCTGTGTCCACATCCACGCACAGGTCACTTGACCACTGGGAGCGCATCTTCTGACAGGAGCGTGTCCTTCCCTGTGATGGTGCACATGCTGGAGACGGGATGAGGGGCAAACTCGCTGAATCTGGTTTAACGATATGAAATAACCTACTAGTAGGAGAAGAAAATGTAAAATAGAGAGCATGAGTTCAAAGTAAACAGACAGGAAGAGAAAGAGAATTTCTTCCTTAAATCCTCATAACTCCTTAAAAATCCAAACATCTTTCTCTGACCACCAAGTCTGTAAAAGTCACACTTGCGGTTATAACAAATTTCAATTCTTCAAAGTTGGTTTATATTTGAGGAACTAAATGTTGCTTCTAGAAAACCCCCTTGAGACCCACAATTTTACTGCAGGAAAGAGCAGATCTTGACAGGCCTGGAAGCACGGCTGAAGCCACCCTGTCAGCCTCGGACTCAGGTAGTCCGATTTCCACCATAGCTGGTGGGTCCCGGTAAGGATAAGAACGCCCCGAGCCACAGAATGAACTAGAAGTATGTGTTTCATTCGCTTGTGTGCACGGAGAGAGGCTGTGCCAGGTCCTAAAGCGAGTCTCATGGCGAATACACGGTGCGAAGCCTGCTGTGGTGATGTAGACAAATTCACAAATCGGCCACAGAAAAATAGGATTCCACCAAGAAGCCGGAAGAAGTAAATGGATGCAGGGAGGTAGCACAAATGGTCCAGTTCAGACTGGGACACCCAGGAAGGTTTTTGGAGGTGGTGATGTTTGCACTGGGCAATGAGGGTGAGGAGGGCATTCTGGTTGGAGGAAGAGCAGGTGCAGAGTCCTGCAGGTGGCAAAGGGCTTGTCACGTTCAAGGCCAGTGTGGCTGGGGTCAATGCATGAAGGGGCTGGTGCCACAGATGGACAAGGAAGCAGAGGTCAGGACCAAGAGTTTTTGATTTTGTCCCCAACTTGTTCTGAATTCATGGAAGAGTTTCAAGCCGGGAGGCCCTCTATCTGATCATGCTGCATCTTCAAGGACTGCTCCATGGCTATGGAGTGGATCAACACAGGCAGGCGACAGAGAAGCAGGTGGGCTGGGTCCAGGGAGGGGACGTGACCCTGAGTGCGAAGGTGATGTTACGGCGAAAATGAGACCCAGGGAAGGGTTTCCTGCAGAACCCACAGGATCTGCTGAGCACTCATCAGGCAAGTGTCAACGGCGAGGTCTGGCATGAGAAACTGGGTGCTCGGAGTTACCACTTGCAAAGACGGGGTGACAGGAAGAGGAGTCCATCTGAAGGGAAAACCAAGAGCTCAGTGTGGGGTGTCCTCTGTTCGAGATCATGCAAGCCATCCTGAATATCAGTTCCGAGACTCAGGGCTGCCTGGATGAGGGATGCACACGGGAGAGCTGGGGCGTCCCTGCGGGGCTCGACGCCAGAAGACCCAGGGCGCGACCGCGCATCTCTGCTTTCTGCAGACGCCGAAGCGGCTTGTGGAGGATGCCAGCCATTCCAGATAAGTGAGGACCAGGTGAACCCGAGTTAAATGACAGGGAATCTGTCAACGACTGTACGAAACTCTGGTCATTAAAAATTTTGTCTTCGTGTGCCAAATCCATCATCCATCCACCTCTCAAAAATAGCTTTGACCTCAACTACAGATAATGCCTAAGAATCATTTGACCCCTGGGCTTTGTTAGCTGCATTCAGACACTCAAGTCTGGGACTGTGAAACTGAGTGGTTCAACACGAAGGAAACGTTGGGGAGAACCGCAGACAGGCAGACGAAGCCGGAGATCTGTTCTTGCACATCTGAGTATCCAACAAGCCACCGAGAACCAGGACAGTGGCAGCTCCGTCTGATGTGGATTCTACGTACAGGCTGAACCTAACACTATTAAATGTTGAATTCGATGGCGGACTGAAAGGAAATCCAACACAAACACCAGCCCTCCTCCGACTCTGGAGCCGAGAGCTGCCCGTCATGGCCCCGACCGCTCGCCCCGTCAGCAGATTCAGAGATACCAAGTTCCTGAACAAACAGCTCCGTTAGGTTGAAAAACAACTCGGATTTCTTTAAGCAAAGCCCAAAATGACCCAATCAAAAGAAATGTTATCTTATCTTGATGAGTAAAATACCAAAAAACCCACAGAACCTTCCAACTTCGGAATTTGAAGCTTCAGCGGGACTCTGACATGGACGGGAGAGGACAGACACGGGTGAAGGTGGTGACAAAGACCTTCAGTAACACGAAGCAGGTGCCTCTGCAGGTCCACAGCCCAGGGGCCCGGGGGCCCGGGGGTCAGGATGCTCGTTCCCACTCCAAACCTGAGGGTGACCAGTGCACCCACAGACTGCACTGAGTGTAGAAGGGCCTGCGCTTAGCCACGAACACTCAGTGTCTTCTCCTACAAAAGGACATTAACAGGATGATCACGATGGCACCTTTTAACTCAAATTCCTAATAATGCGAATTTAATTTGTCTCCTGATGTCTAAGGCAACATACAATGCATCAAATGATAGGCAAAAGCATCCCTAAAAACAAGGACTTTTTAAATGTTTATTTCCCCAGACTGTCGGAAGGTGTATTAATACAGCACTAACAGTTTTCTGGGCTTTTCAGTAAAAAAAAATAAAATAAAATAAAGCTGTGGATCCACGGTCTGAAGAGTCGTTGCAAGTTAGGACATGTGACCCCCTGCCGGAGGGGCTTCAACGGGCGAACTCGCAGCCGAGGGGCCGGGGGCGAGCGACCAGCCACACGCGGCTACCCCCGGCCCCGCGGCCCAGAGGGCTGTCATTATAGCTGTGGGCTCCCGTTCCCTGTGCTTCCTTTTTTTTTTTTTTAATTTTTTTTCCCCTGTGTTTCCTAAACTCACGCTGCGATGCTCATAACGTGCTGTGCTGAAGGACAAGCCTAACATATTTTTAACTTTTATTTATGGAGACTCTCAAACATGCACAGAACTAGAGGAAACAGGACAGTGACCCCCCGCCCGCCCACCCAGCCTTGCTGACATTTGGTCCATCGTACTCTATACAGATGCTCAACCCACCTCCCATTTCTCTGGCGTATTTTAATTAAATATCAGACAACATATCATTTGATTTAACTGATAAGGAATCTTTTTTCTTTTTTTAGCATACCCACCATGACGTTATTCATCTCACTTTATAAAGTTAATTCGACCCCGTACATACCCCAATTTCTCTGGCTGTCCCCAAAATGTGTGGTTTACAGCTTGCTCAGGTGCGGTGGCGGTGAGCTTGCAGCATCTCTCGTTTTGTGTCCTGTCTTCCTTCTTAGTGTAACTGACTGCTCAGAGAAATCAGGTCACTTGTCCTGTGAAGTGTCTCACATTCTGGCTGGGCTGATTGTTCCCTCTCGCTCAGAATGCCAGACCCGGAGATTCCGTGAGATGCAGACTCAGTTTCTCCATCGTGGGGCTGGGGCACAGCTCCACACCCCATCACCACTTCCTAATGACTGAGCATCTTGCTTTTAGGGAAACTATGAGTGCTCTGGGTTCCCAGGGATTCCAGGACCTTCCGTGGTAAAGATCCTGTGGACCCCTAACAGTCTGGCACCCACTGAAGGATGTCACCCAGAGCCATTAGGGCTTTTAAGTGGTGACTCCTAGTTTTATCACTTATTATGAATTTATCAGCTAGAATCTTCTACAAAGATAAACTTTCCCTCGTCAATGATTCCTTTACACTGAATGCATTTCATACAGGAAAGGCGTCGTACGTACGTACGTTTACCCCTCTGTAACTCTGATGTTCTAGCACCCTGCAGAGGTCATTGTGAGATTTTAAGGGCATAGTACTTGTGAACTGAAGGGTTTTTTTATAAAAAGATTTTTATTTATCCATTTGAGAGAGAGAGAGAGAGAGCACAAGCAGGGCGAGAGGCAGAGGGAGAAGCAGCTTCCCCGCTGAGCAGGGAGCCCGAATCAGGATTTGATCCTGATTGGACCCTGAGCTGAAGGCAGATGCCTAACTGATGGAGCCGCTCAGGCGTCCTGAAACTTTTTATGTAATTACATATTTCATCCTGGCTCTAGTCATGCCTCAAGGTCCATTATTTTACCTTGTGTCAGTGGGCACCCCTTTATGTGGGTTTTGGGTTTGTGGATACAACCACGTCACCTTTGTCACTTGCCTCACTGCCCGGTGCAGCCCCTGCCCAGGTGCGCCCTGCACTCCTGAGCCCACCATCCTCAAGGAGCCCCACTTGCCAGCAGGTGGAAGCCACTGCCTGGGAGCTGGGCTCCCAGTGCTACTGCCAGGGCTTCTGGGCAGATAAAGCTAGGAAACGTGGTCGTAAGGAGACCACAAAACCGTGACCTGGGAGTAAACCTGTCCATTCCATAAATTTAAAACTACACGGTTCATGCTCAGCTTCGCCGGCTCTATGCTTGTGCTTCTGTCCTTAGGCTTTAAACTTCAAGTCCCGTGCATGTGTGCACATTGATCGGGGAGACAGAAAACCAGCCGAGTTGGAGTGACTCTCCTCACTCACACCCTCAGTCAGGAGCCTTGTGGTTTCACAGGAGGGAAGTGCACCCAGGGCCTCATTAATTCCTCACTCCAGCGGGAATCAAGAAACCACCCATCTCCATTATCCAGGAGGCATGGGCTGAGGGAGGGGATGATGGTGCGTTCACCCATCTCTGGATGACTCTGGGGACTGTGGGAAGCACCGAACAGAAGGCTTCTCCAAAGACAGCGTGTTGGGAACGTCACTCACATCATCGATGGCGTGGACCACTCCTGCTGGCACCGAGCTGGGGGGAGGACGACAATGACCATACACATCACTGTGCAGTTTCTGTCTGTGTCCCCAGCACCCAAACCCTTCGATGCTCTTTCTTTCTTCCTTTCTTTCTTTTTAGGTAGAGAGTGAGTGAGAGAGAGAGAGAGAGAGAGAGAGAGAGAGAGAGAGAGAGAAGGGACAGAGGGAAAGCATCTCAAGTAGGCTGCACATTCTGTGCAGAGCCCAACGCGGGGCTTGATTTCACGACCCAGAGATCACGACCTGAGCCAAAATCAGGAGTCAGATGCTTAACTGACTGTGCCACCCAGGCCCCCAACTCTTTGACACTCTTCATGCTGCTGAGCCATCCTTCTGTTTTCACTTTCCGGTCCTCCTCACTGGTCCCATCCTTGCCTGTGGGCCCATCTCTCTGCCCCTCTCTCCTGCTCCTCACACCTCCCTCCTATATCAACATCTCTCATTTTCTCCCCATTCCTCATTTTCCTCTCTCCTCCTTCCTTTTCATGTTCTCTGGAAACGTTTTCTATCACACTCTTCTCTTGGTTCCAGATCCCCTGTGTGTTGTGAGTGATATGCACAGCTCTACCCCAGTGCCACCTACACATCCAGCCTTGGCTCAGAACCTCAGGGGTGACTGACATACAAGAAGCCTTGCAGCGCAGTCTCTGTCCTCAGGAACTCAGGCGTGTTTGAAGGCAATCGTGAATCTGGGAAAATGCAACAGGCTTCAGAACAAACCCTGAATGAACGTAATGATGTAGGAGCACAAACGAGACTTCATGAAGCCTCTGGTGAAGTTTTGAGAAGCTGAATAGCCAGGAGCAACGCTGTTCCTCTGGCGATGGAAACAGCCCAACATCAACAATTGAAATGCCACTAAGGTGATGGGAAACCACGCGTTCGTGGAGACACCACGCTGCAGGACCACCGTACTACGCCGTGGTACCTGACACGCCTTGCTCAGGCCCTCTGGCCAATGGCTAATGGCCTACACGGCACAACAAGTATTACACTAGCAAAACAACAGAGTTGAAGAAAAAAATATTCAGTTAATGTCAAAAAGGTACAAAGTGTGTTTTGTACTGTAGGGCTGACCAAGGGCTTTCTGAAGACCTTCCAAAGTCACCTGCTAGACTGTACGACGTAAACATCAGTGAGATGCCAGAGAGGCCCTTACAGAGGAGCAAAATATGGGCGGACAAGGGGAGGACCCCGACAGGTGAGTGCCTGTGACCGCAAGCCCACCGAGGAGACCCAGGAGAGGGAAGCAGGGGGCGGGGTGGGCCACCGCGGGAGGCCGCAGCACCTGGAACCTGGAATCCATTCAGCAGGCAGCAGGGAGGACCTTTCCATGTGGATTTGTTTCATCAGGGGAAGAAGGGAAAGTCCTATTGAGTGTGGTTTTCAAGTAAACAGCCAACTAAAGGAATTTCAGAGAATTCTGTGTTATTCATTAACACCATCAAAATCCTAAGTCACAGACACCAGCTGTGTCAATACTAATGACCTCGTCGCATCCCTGAGGGGTCTCCTGAGTAAGTAAAGAAGGATGCCGGGCAGCCCGGGTGGCTCAGCGGTTTAGCGCTGCCTTCGGCCCAGGGCGTGATCCTGAAGACCCGGGACTGAGTCCCACGTCAGGCTCCCTGCGTGGAGCCTGCTTCTCCCTCTGCCTCTCTCTCTCTCTCTCTCTCTCTCTCTCTGTGTGTGTGTGTGTCTTATGAATAAATAAAATCTTTAAAAAAAAAAAGAAGGATGCTGCCTCCCCTCTGATTTACCCACACACAGAGAAAGGACCAGCCAGACCCCATTGGGCAGCAGAACCCCTCTGACACGTACGGAGCTTGCTCAGAAACTCTGGCCACACTCCAGCCACATGCCAGTGGTCTGCTAACTGTTCACTGTTCAGCTCCTTCCAGAAAAGAACCTTCACACAGAGCATGAGAAATCCTGAACTGGAACCAGGGGCAGGAGAATGGGATACGTGGGAAATTGCTGCACTTTCTATCTTCTTCCTTAAAATAGACACACACATACACACACACACACACACAAACACACACATACACGTGCCAAAACAAATTACCTGTCCTGTGAAGCTGGATCACCAAATTCCTTATCAAAAGGCAGCAGAGGCCGGATCCGACAGTGAACCCTGATATTCCCTTTCAGCTCCTACAACAACAGAATTAGTACCTGTGAGCTGAACAGTGAGGCTGAGCTGACCTACGATTTCCTCAAGGAACGCATCCGGAGTACCGCGTCCCCAGGATGTGAGCATTGGATTTCCCACCCACACCCTGGCTTCTGAACAAGTCCCCACGGACTAGGACTGAGCCGTCGGTGTTCTTTTCAGCTTTTTAAAAATCCACACTGAAATTTGTTCACTTGGCAAGTGGTCATTACAAGGTCGTAAGTATCAAGACAACACCTCTCAACTGCCACCTGCATCCACTTTGTGAGACATTTTAGGAGAAGTTTCTGAAATCTGGTACTTCTGTGACTTTTACAGCCCCTGCAAAGTGTTCATCCAAACCGTGACAGGATGTGATATCGTAGAGACAAAGGCAAAGAGTGAGAATTGACTAAACTATGTCGCTCCGGTGCAGAGGAAGTGGAGCTACCATCTGGGACGTTCGCTGATTTATGGAAGCTGGTCAACATGTGCTAGCGATGATGGATCTGACATCTCCTGGGTGACCCCGGCTCCACACAGCACCACTCCCTCTGTCACCATGCTGGTGTCTTTTACCCACTGGTCCTTTATAAGGTTGGGAACACAAACTCTGCCCCGTGTCCTCTAGAAACCGTCCATCTCCACTCACTCCCACCAGCGCCCTGGCTTGCAGTTGCGTTGGGCATTCCCCAAATGGCTAGAGGCGGTCTGTTCTTATCCCTCCTGAAGTTCTGCATCCAGAATGAGAAGTACATCTCTAGGTCACGTCTCTGACGTTCTGATGTTCTTCCATCAGTGCAGCCGAGCAACCACCAGCTTAGGTGGCAGCCCCTGACACTCATGACCTATTCTATGCTCAGGATTATCACCTAAAGCCAAGAATTCTGCACCCATCCCAAGGGAGCCAGCAGCTCCTCCCGACCCCTCAGAGGATAGACACACCCGTGGGAAAGGTGGGAATTGTCAGCATGGATACAGCTCCGCCAGGAGGCCAACAATACTCCCAGCCAGAATCCAGCATTCTGTGGGAGAAGGCGTGGCCCAGAACCAAGACCACGCTGTCACAAGACAGGAAAGACTACGGGAAGGACGGGGAGAGCCAGGTAGGAGCAACCTGGAGAAGGCGGGTGAAGGGTGGTGTCAGGTGACCTAAGAGGTGGCTGCATCCATGCAGTGAAGAGGTGTCACCCACAGAGAGGGACGGGCACCTGCACTTCACGTACACCCGAGCATCATGGGCACAGCCCAATGTGGTCTGTGGAGAGACCAGGACGCCAGGCTGAGCCTGCGGTCCGAGCTCCTGTGGCAGGGTGGTGAGAGGGACTCCTGCTAACAACCACAAGGATGATGGTGATGATGGGAGTTTCAACATGTTCTTCTGTTTAAAAACTGATCTTAGTTCACAGGGTGATGCTGTTGCTGGCAGTCCCCTCTCTCGGGCACGTTTCCCACACACCTGCTGTTGTCCCACTTCAACTGCCTGCACCTGTGTACTTGGCATTTCATAGCCTGTTTGTTCAGGTTAAGCTTAGTACTCTAGCCTGTGGAAATATTTTAGGACACTCCCATTCAATATGCTTGCTATCAATCTCTTTCAAATTTCTATTGTCAAATATAGTAGCTTGCTTTGCTGTCTCCATCAAGTCAATAAGAATTAGGACCTAAGAGTTTGGACAGAGCCCAGAGGCTGTCCCTAGACAGCTCCTCCTGGCTGTCATCTGGGCGGGGATCCCTGGCTGGGCAGGCCTGCCCCTCCCTCAGTGTGTGGCCTCCAGAGGCCAAAACCCAACAGGCACCTGGCCTGTGAGGGACGGCTCGCAGCTCTTCTGTCGATGTTCTGTTCATAAATATTTCATGTCACACTTTTGCAAATGCTTGGCTGCTGACCAGATACTCTACATCTCTCCTATTTTCTTGATGTAATACCTGGAAAGTACGTGAGAACATTGGCATGCTCATAAACTGCTGGTTCCAGTGAGCAACACTTTTTCCCTCCAAGTGTTCAGAAACCATTATTGGTGATCCATTCTGAATCTTACCCTGGACTTGCTGCCAGTTTATTTAACTAGTTGTGAAGCACAGCTCCTTTTACTTTTTGAACACTGAATAAGTGATACACATCGATTGGTTTATGGGCTGTAGGTCCTCCAGGACACCGAGACCTGCAGTTCCATGGGGTGTCTTCCAGGGCATGGAGGGCAGCTGGAGAGCCAGGCCTCATCCCACCCTGGCCCTGGTTCCCACAGGGACCCCATGGGAGAGCGGCGGCACCACAGCTCCCTGCTCATCTCTCCCTTGGTCTTTGCAGCAGAGCAATGCTGCTGTTAAGACCAGGTAAGAAAATGCACCAAAGCACTCACAGAGTGGCTGGTGGGCAGGAAGCCTGCAGTGGACATGCTCTGGGGTCACCGTCTAGAGCCTGGGAGACACCGGGAGACAGCCAAGCCCATAGTGAGAGCCACTCTCAAGTGAGTCTAACCGCTGGGGGGCCCAGGGCCAAGGAGCTCCCAGGAACACAGGCTCTGCGGCTGCAGTCAGCAGGACCAAGAGGAGGCCGGGGCTCCAGCACACCATCCAATCTCATGGAAGCAAAGTTCATCCAACAAACCACCAGCTCCAGCCTCACCGTGTGCAGAAATGGAAATCTGTCTTCACACCTCCGGGGCCTCAGACCTCACACTGCTTAAGAGGGGAAGGGCGAGTTGGCCTCTGCATCCTGCTGCCCTTGAGGAAAGCTGGGGGCAGTGCAGGCCAGGAAGGCAGAGCTCCACGGACGCCGGCTCATGCGCTTGGTGGGCACCCTCTGCAGACCCCTGCACACGCGCGCTCAGCCTGGTGTCTGACCACCCACCACCCACTGCCCACCAACCACCCCCGGGGCTGGTCCCGTTCACCCCACCCGGAGGGAGGCTGCTCAGCCCCATCCATCCTGCATGTGGGCCCCGCCTCCCCTGACCACGCCTCCTCTGGGCACGCCTCCCTGTGGGCCACACCCCCTTCTAGCCACGCCTCCCGCTGGCCACGCCCCCATGGAACACACCTCCCTGGCCACGCCTCCCTGTTAGCCACGCCTCCCAATGGCCACGCCCCCCGCAGACCACGCCTCCCACTGGCCACACCTCCCTCGTCTGGGGCCGCATCTCCCCCACTGGCCACGCTTTCCAGCTGACCACGACTTCTCGTGTGACATCCCTTGCTGGCCATGCCTCCACCGGCCACACCTCCCCCTCAAGCAGCACCTCCTTGCTGTCCCTTCCCTTCCCCCTCCCCCGCCCCCCTTCCCCCCACCCCACCCCACCCCTACCTTTCACTGAGGCCCCTCCTGGAGGTCACCTCTCCCACCCTTCCTGGAGCCCTGAGGTGCTCACCACCAAGCGATTGTGCAGCACCCTCCTCTTCTGCTTCTCCAGCTGGTACCGCGCATCTGCTTCCTGCAGCGACCGCTCCAGCTGACCCACCTTGGACTGCCAAGCTGCGGTGACAATGTCATCCGACGGTCCGGTGAGGTTTGCAGGGGAGGACCTTCAGCCACCAGCCGTGACCTGCTCTGCCTGCAGGAGGCTCACGTCCTTGGGGACAGCCACGGCTCTTCTCCCTTCCAGTTTTGTGTAAGGCCCCTCACTTTTCAGAGTGGGGATATACTACTTCCCACTGGATGACCGTCCCGTCCCCCTTCCTGGAGCCTGAGACTTGGGAGGACCTCAGGTGTGCCCGCACATGCCAGGAAGGTATCTGGCTGGTACCGGGGGCCAAAGCCCCTTCCTCCCTGGGTCCTTGGACACAGTATCCCCATCTTGACCCAGTCATGACCAAGCTGCGTGGGGCTCTCAAAAATGAAGAAAGAGTGAACAGATGGACCAGATGTCCCACCGCGCCCCAGGAACATCTGAGTCAGGAGGCTCAGTGGGGACACGGCCCCAGCGCAAGAAGCGCATGAGGGTCAGGAGACCCTCCAGAGGACCCGGAACCCCATAGGGGCGCCTGACCCAGACCTGGGCCCCACACTGGCCAGCCAGCGCCTCCGGCGGGGTGCTCTCCCCGTGTGCCCAGGCGGCCGCACAAAGGAAGGCACATGGAAACCTGAATCCCTGGCAGCTGTCTGTGTCTGCGAAATGGCTGAGCCACCGTCGGGTTAGGGCCACGCTTACCCAGCAGAGCCTGGTGGCACAGCTGTGCTCCTTGGACAGCCGCCTCCACTGCAGAGAGACCGTCCTGCAGGTGTTCCCGGCAAGCTCTGAAAGCTGCCAGAGACAAGGCTCGCAGCGCCTTCATGTCTTGCTTCAGTTTCTGTGACACAAGAGCACACACGATGAAGATGGTTAACGTTACTGATCACAGAGCACCATGTTTAACAGTTACGTACGTGTCTGTAAGATGAGAACCGGCCACCCCCTGGGAGCCGCGTGGTCCTGAGCACACGCTGGAGCCATGGTGGCCCCTCAGCGCCTCTGACACACGGCCAAGTGCACATGCAGGAGCGTTTAGTGGACTCTGGGGACAATGGGACCGATAAGCAGCATCCCCCACGTCAGGGGCTCTTCCTTCTGAGGCGCTGGGGAGGCAGACTGGCGCCAGGGCCAGAGGCCCAGAGAAGGAAGGAGCCCATGTCCTGCCACTTAACATCTCCTAGATGTCCTTGTTTCTGGTCTTTTCTTTTCCATAGAATGGAGACCGTTCCATGTTTGGGTTGCATTCTGATGAAATGCCAATACCTTCCCGAATTACAGTATGTTTATGACCTGGAATGCAGATAAATTTAGCCACTGCGGTCAAAGATGGATCCCTGCCACTGAGTGTCAGAAGACAAAGGATTCGTTCTGCGTCAACCTATTCTGCATGCACTCCGGCAAACCTCTCAGGGCCGACTAATCAGGTTTACAGATGGCATTTTTGTTGTTGTGATAATGGTCTTTTTTTTTTTCCTTCTAATTTCTACCCCGGTCACATTGTTTGTAACGAAAGGTGAACAATGCTCCTAATCAAACGATGGTATAAAAATACCCCAGCGCGGTTTCACCCTGGAGAACTGCCAGGCGGCTGCAGCCACGGCCACGTTTCTGACTTTTCTTTCCAGACGACCCCGCGGTACAGCAGGAGCTGCTTCCGTGTGACCAGTGGCACGTGCCCTGGCTAACCTGACCTGAATAGTGCCGTCTTCCACCATCGACCTCAGCGTGGAGGAGAGGCCCCCGGCTCCCAGTGGAGCAGGACCAGGGCTGCTCCCCACCGCCCGTCCCGGGGCCTTCCTTCCTTCCTGTGTGAGGGCAGGACCGCGGCCCGCGGGCCCGGGAGCTGGACCTGCTTTGGGCAAGTCCTAGCGGAGAAGGCCGAGCTCCTGGAGCAAGAGCCACCACAACGGGTCCCGGGTATAGGGATGCTTCTACGGCCTAGGAGAGGAGGCCCGGCCCCCCTGGAAGCTGCGGGGACATCCACCCCGGAAGCTCTGCTTCCTTCAATCAAGGCCCCTTTGAATCCCGAAGAGTAGATGTAATCTGATGAGCAGAACAGCACAGATTCACCAGAAAACAAGCACCGTGAGTCACGGACGTGACATACAGACCTCCACTTGCGGGGCATTGTGCCTACCTGAACTCCTTCCTGAACTCTGCGGTGGAGCTGGGGTGCAGCTGGGGGCGTGCTTCTCCGCGGTGGGTCCTGCTCCAGGCACCGGGGGCACAGCCCTGCGGCCGCGCTGCCGGCCTCTCCCGTCATTCCTCGGCACTGTTGAGCCAAAAAGAATGAGAAGGTTCGAAGTCTCAATGCCTTGGAGCAGGTGCACGTTCTCTGAGGGGAGAACATTCACAGGGTGTCCGCTGACACTACGCTTGGCCAGTGGCAACTCTAAGCTGGCTGTCCGAAGGTAGCGAGGTCGAGCTATGATGTACTAGTGTGGCAACCCCCCTTATCACTAGAATTGCAAAACCGTGAGACCCTCCACGCACTCAGAGCGCGACGCCCAACCAGAAAGGGTACTGCTCACACTTCTTTTGTTGATGCTGCCGAACGGGAGAAGTCAGTTAAGCTCCAGAAGTGACGGGTGTCCTCGCCCTTGGGATGGACCTCTCCGAATGGCCAGAGCCCGTGCCCGCGGCCTCCCCACCCTGCACACTGAGGCTTCATGCCAGCTCACACGGTGGTTGAAACCGAAGTCTTCCTTGACTCCCAACTGTTGGGATGGGTGTTTTCTTTTAATCAAAGCTTTTGACTGTGATGCTGAGGACACCGCATCAAGCAAATCCTTCCCCTGCTCCAGGAGCAGGGTGGACGCCTGAGCCGCGTGTGACAGTGAAGGGGACACGGAGCTGGCAGCTGGCAAGGGCCGCGGACTAGGCTGGAGAGTCGATTACTTCTTGATGTGTGAGACCTTCACATGGAGACAGGACAGGGAAGCTGAGGAGAACCCACCTGTCAGTGGGATCATAAAGACTACAGAGCATCTCCGCAGGGCGCCGGCCTTCAGTGCAGCAGGTGCCACGGGCACCGGCACAGGTTTGCAGACACCTCAGAGACCGGGGACGCCACGCGGTGGGCTGCTCCCGCCCCTTGTGTGACTAAAGACAAGACTGAAGCAAAATGCAGGCCCTAAACTCAGAAGACTCAGATTCTCTCTGGGAAAAAAAATCATGGACATAAACATGAAGACCTACACCCCAAGTCCCACCGGCTGTGGGTCCAACAGGCTTTCAGAGGAAAATGAAGTAGAGAAACCGAGTCCTGCACACTGGACGTCAGGTCGCCTGGCTTCCGGGGCTGGTTTACTTTGGGAGAAACAGGCAGGAAGCCATGAGCCTCTGGGGACAGCACACGGGCTCCCGAAAAGAGGGCCGGACTCATGCTGGGAACGACATGAAGCAGGAAGAGTGTCCAGGGCAGGAGCGACCAGGCTCCTCCTGCACAGAGAGAGGCTCCCCGACAGCCGTGTGCGCGCCGACCGTCTCCATCCCAGGCCCGGAGCCGAGCAGGGCGTGTGCCACACAGATGACCATGTTCTGTTTTATAATCCTCAAAAATGATTAGGAGGGACTTAGCACACGAACAACAAAAATGTTACAGGCTTTATCTTACTGACATGTTACATCTAACAATTCCCAATGTGAAAAAAGAAGTTTTTAATTTCATCTCAGTGATGTCTGGAAATACTGGTGGTGCTTGGTGGCAGCCCTGGCCAACAGAAGGTCGTGACCTCAGCGATCCCACCTGCTGTGCACCACTAACCCCGCAGCAGGGGTAAGGACCCCAGCGGGGCTGGAAGTCTGCTCTGACGTCCGTCCAGCAGCTGCCATAGGAGCCATTCCTGCAGCGGAGCAGGTGAGCAGCGCGGCACCCAGGCACTGCCTCACCGCCGCCCGCCTGCCGCTCCTTCTACCGGCCGGTGCTCCTCGGAAGCTCCGTGGGAAGGTTCTGGCTGCCCAGGAAGGCTGTGGTGCATGGCTGGGGAGATGTGGCTCTCCAGGGCTCCGGCTCACAGGCCGCCCGCTTGCTGTTGGTGACAGTCCACGTGCGTAGCTGTGGCCAGAAGCGCCAGCAACGTCCGCAAACACGTTAATACTTGATTTAGGAAGCAGTACAAATAGCCCTACGTTCGTCTACAATTGAATGCAACTAACTTGGGTGCGGTGAACCTTGGGAGGGTTATTCAAGGAGCGTTGGGAGTTGGAAGACTCGGTCCTGCCGTGAGGCCCTAAGGAGAAGTCTGAACGGGTGGTAATTTAAGGATAGGGAACTCACAAGTGCACTAGGTTTCCAGACTTGCCTCCGTAACAAATGACCACCCCCCGAGGAACTTAGGACAATAGAGGTGCATCCGCTCATGGTCCCGGAGGCCAGCGTCCGGGATGCAGATGTGGGCAGTGGCGCCAGGGCACAGCCTCCAGGGCAGGGCCTGCCCGCCTCTCCTGCTCCCGTGGCCGCCGCGGCGCCCCCACCGTGGCTACAGCTGTGCATCTGCAGACGGCCCCTGCTGTCTCCACGAGGCCTTCTTTCCTGCAAGGACTGCCGTGGCACGTGGGGCCCACCTGGGGCCCCTGGGGCTGCTGTTCAGCCCGAGGGCAGCAGGGGCCGGCGGCTGGGAGTGGAACACACGATGTTCCCTCCCCTTCCAGCGTGACAACACACCTGCAGGCAGTTGCCTCAGATGCACAAACGTCTGTGCCAGGGTTGCCAGAATCGATCTGGAAGCGGCGGGGGGCATGAGGCTCTTTGGGGTGAGGGTGAAGGGGGTGTCACGACGGCGGGGCAACCATGGGCGGACTGAATACTCACTGGCACACGCCAGCTGGGGGAAGGCATGGCCAGTAAGGTAGACCTCGATACAGCTGTTTTGAAAAGTGCAGGAACCTCATGAATTTATTACTCATTAGTAACAAATTAATATTCAGTAACATTAGTATTTATTATGACTAAATGCTCATGGGCGCGGGGACTGAACCTCGTGCGGGATAGGAGGACGGGTCCCCGCCACATCACTGGATG